GGCATAATCCTGCTATATGGCACAAACCAGCTATCCTGATGAGTTTTTGGCATTCTGCTCTATCTTTATACAATGAAACCAAATAGTCTTCTTTTTTGTTTTTTAAAGCTGCTGCTACAGATTGAGGTAAATCAGACACTGCTGACTTCTGGTACAGGCTCTTTTCCCTCAGAGATTGCAGGAAATTCAGGGCTTTTCAGATTATTTGAGCTATACAGTTAATCACTGATGATTTACATTCCTTTTCATTTAGCCACGCTCAGAGCTGTCTCCATCGTGCTGCTCACCCTCCCAGCATGCTTAAATCCATCAGGTGAAGTATTCACCATAAAGTGAACTCATCCCAAGCTGACCCACAATCTCCAACGGGTTTTAACAAACCAAAGTGCACTGATTTTTTTGCCTATGTTTTCCATAATTTTCCATGACAAAATGTTTGGAAGTGCACTGAATCATTATTTTCAGGGGTGCTTCTGAAATACTGCTGTCTTCTGGATAGCAAAATCCTGCCAGCATTCAAGCTACATATTCAGTCAAAAATTTCCTGTAAACGTGACTCTGTTCCCCTTTGTGAGTGCACCTCCAAGATCCATAGTTCAATAATTTTCTGTTTAGGCTCTTATTTGTTGGATGTAATCAAAAGGTCCAGGTAGACAAACCTTTCCAGAAAAGATTTGATTTTGTTTGTGGTGGTTGCTGTTGACATTTTCCATTTCAATATAGGGAATAAAGTAATTACATGATAATAAAGTAAAAACAGCAAATAAATCAAACTTAAACCATTTCAGGAAGATTTTAACCAAATCTGCTGGATGCCTCTGGGTGAGCCTTAGGATGATGTCAGAGTTTCTCTCACCCCAGAGTGAAGGGACAGTTTCCAATCTCTCACATATTTCAACATGACTGTCCTGCAGCTTTCCCTGGATCCTTGGGACCATGCTTATGAGTTTTTGAGACACTCTTTGTGTTCAATCTGACCTGACTTAAGCTTTCAAAATCAAAGCACTAAATGGTTTAACCCAAAATGTGACCTTTTTATTTTTTTAATTTGATGCAAAGGTCTTTAGTGTTAAAACACCAAATATTGGGAAGAGTACAGTTGACATCTACTGCTCTGGACATGTTACCTTTGCAAACAACTCCTCTTGTTTAAACCTTCAAGCTTGCTTTTATTGGCTCTGTGAAAAAAATATGATTGTGACAGTTTTAGCACCAATAGTAAAGGCTCATGGTCTAACAGCTTTTGAGGTGGTAAATACTCATGAGTGCTCCAGGCAAGCTGGTAAAGCTCAGTCCCCTCTCAGGAGAGGGTGAAATGAAGGCAGGGAGAGTTTGAGTGCTCAGGTACTGCTGATTACAGAGGCAGCCAGTGACATGGGGGAGGCTGAAACCAAAGGCTCTCAATCTGGTTTCAGAGAGAAACCAGTCTTTCCTCTCAAATCAGAGTTTTCCCTCATGGAAAGAATTCTGTCTCAGCCCTGTTCAGATGGCTTGCATATGCCATGGGCATGATCCAGGCAATAAAGCTTTGTAATAAGCTACTGTCCAGATTGATAACTGTAAGGAGCATCTCATAATGACCACAACATGATTAGTCATGATACATGTGTGATACCCATGCTCATTATTACTGGCCTCCAGAACAGCACTGCTGAGTCCTGCCAATGTGCTCAGTTTAGTACTGGGAGAGACAATACTGCAATTACTGCCAAAGTATGCAGGAACATTTAGCAGCAGCTGGTTGGGGATTCTGCACCAGGCTGGCAGTCAGGAGCACAGCAAAGCATGGCAGGGTAGGACCTGCAAGGACTAACTTAGATTATCTGGATCCAATGAATTATTTTAAATATGTCTCTGGGTGTGCCCATTTATTTTAAACAGTTGTCTTGCAGAACAGAAGGCATGGAACACCGGCATGAAGAACACAACATCTGCACTGGAGCTGATGAAACCTATTTGGAAACAGCTACATCCCAGTTTCATACCAATATTTGATGTTGTTTCCCACTTATAAAGCAGAGAGATATTTTCTTTTTCCTGCTGTTGCACCCATTATGTTTGTGAGCCTGTGACATTTCATTGCATGTACATCTTTTATATCATGACCCAAGGGCCCACATAACATTGAAAAACACAAATGTACCTGAGCATCAGTCCTTGGAAAGTCTGGGAAAGTGCAATTAGAGCTGTTTCTAACCATGCAGACTATCACAAACATGACAACCTTACCTTCCACTTCACACAGAGAGCTGAACTGAGTCAAAGACTTCAATCCTTTCCTTCAAAGGCAGTGTAAAGTTTCCAGATAGAAACACATTTCTGTTCTTCAAGAATACTGCTGCCCTGTGTGGGAGGAGTCCATTTTCCAGGCTCAGTTGCAGGAGATGAAGGCAATACACACTAGAACAAGTCTCTATTTGAAACAGAGAGCTTAGCACAGGCCTTCTAAATGTCCCCTAAATACACAGTAATATGTACATTTTGAAACTTCCAGAGTCCATCTTCTGTTGTAAGGAAATTTCCTCAACAGCAGCAAGTAACTGCAAAAAGAGAAGAGTTGTTGGTTATGCTGTGCACTTTGTTTGAGAAGGTGATCAATGTTCCTGTTGGTAAACATATTTCTGAGACTTGTGGGAAAGAACCTTCTGTGAACTTTCATCTTGATAAAGATCTTCTTCCTCTGCACTGACAGTCACTCACACTGGACAGAAACACCCTGTCCAAGAGAAATGTAACATTGATGCACAAAATAATGAGGTTTTTCTTGTCTCTTCATAGCAATTCCTTGACATTATCACATGTATCATTATGAGTAACATCACACTCTCTGTTAATTGGAAATAACCAGGAAGTTGTTCAGCCCCAAGGTACCAGCTCACATCCCCTGTGCTAAACAAGTATCCAAAAAAGGCCTAGCAGCTCCTTGCCAAAAGTATCTGTAAATTCAAAAGCAAATAAACTGAGCCAAAATAATCAGGAAAATTAATGGAATAAAAATCTGCGTAGGGCTATTAAACCCTGAGATAAATCTTTGAGTCAGAAGATCTCTGAACCATGCTTTTTAGCTTGAAACTCTTATCAACAAAGAAGAACACAAGAAGCAGTAGCTATAATGTACATCTCTCCTGTACATGAAATAGAGATAAAAATAACATAAATAATAGCAGTCAATGAGAGATAGATTTTTCAGTCTTCTACATGCTAATGCAAACTAATAAAACTGTATTTGAAAAGCAGCAAGAGCAAGGTCTACACAGCAAAGCACAGCCAGGGAGTACCTGTATAGTATACTAAGACATTTTAAGCATTATTTAAAGGGAAAAGAAGTAACCCTTAATCTGCTTATCCAGTGACACACAAGTGTGGATGTGAGAGTGCTGAAGCTACAGACATCCCTGAAGTTGTGACAGTAAGAGAGGGACATATCATGTCCTGAAAGAACATAACATCCAAGAATGATTTAAGCATATTGTGGGGGGAAAAATGAATGAGAATAGGTGAAAGGAAATTTAGTGACTGCTGGACTAAAGAAAACGTTGCTTTTGTAAAGGGTAAAATTCTGATTTTCCCAGTGCTGCTCTCGATGTTGCTATTTGTTGCAGATGAGCGGGCCTCAATTAAAGGAACTGAGCTCTGTTTGGACAGGCTTGTCTGCTCACTACAAATTTCCTTCAGGATTAGACTCATTATTTGAATTTCCACACCTTCAACAGTGCTATGTTCATAATGTGTGAAAGCAAATCTAACTGATTCAATTGGGAAAATTCTCTTTACACCACTGAATTCTATGGACAAAATGATCCTTGAAATGTATTTATCAGAATATGGCACAAGTATAACAAAAATCCCCTGGTCTTTACTGAGCTTTGGATCAGGGACTTGTCAAAAAAAAAAAAAAAAAAGTCAGGTTATCACACAAACATAATATTTAATCTCCAGATATTCTGTTTCAAACAGTGTAATTGAGTTCAATAGCTCCATGTTTATTATTATGGCCTATGCATAGAGATTAGCATAAAGAAAACTATGGGGGGAAATGTCACACATACACCCACACACCTATGCAAATGCAATTATAATTGCCTCTGTATTTCACAGCAAACCTTTTATGGGAATCACTACGCCCATTCTGTCTAAAATAAAATCTGTTAGGTAAAAATGTTTGTAGCAGAACTTTGTTTTGTTGAGCATTAAACAGCCATGTCCAGCTGGGACTGTTGATGGAGCCTTGCCTATGCACACACATGTGTTTGTGTTTATCTATATCACACAACAAAGCTGGCCTGCCAAGCCCAGCCTATGCTTCAGCCACATTAAAAATTTCCCTAATCAGTTTATCCACTTGTTGCATTTCCCTTTGAGAGACCAAATCTCTCTGAAATGTATCAGAGATTTCCTGGTAGCCTGTCACTCGGCAGGCCTTTGAGCAGCACTGCAAATCCATGGGGGGAATGAACTCCTTCCATGCTCTGTCTGTAGCTGCATGGAGCCTTGCACAGGGGGCTGGGGTTTATTTGGGGCCCCTGGGTTTATGTGGCTGCCATACAATGGGAGCTAATAAGAACAGAGCACCACAGATCCCTGAGATGCACTGGCTGTAAGGAAAGAAGAAACCTGGTCCATAATGAGGATGTTCCATGTCTGGTTGTATGCATAAATAGAGTTGAAATGAGAGGGTTTGATGAAGGTCTTAGGTACACCTCACCAATCTCAATTTGACTTTTCAGACAATGTCAGTATAAATAAATTATGGAGATTTGTGGGAAAATTACAAATATTTGAGATTTCTACTAAAGACAACTCACTGAAATGTACCTATGAACAGCCATCTTATTTTTCTTATTTTTCTTTTCTTTTTTTAAAATTTCCTTTCCTTTCCTTTCCTTTCCTTTCCTTTCCTTTCCTTTCCTTTCCTTTCCTTTCCTTTCCTTTCCTTTCCTTTCCTTTCCTTTCCCCTCTCCTTCCCACCCTCCCCACCCCCCGTTCTTTTCTCGCCTCCCATGAATTTCCTGTTTATGCTGATTGAGTACTGGGTCCTTCCCTCCATTCCACCACCTTGGACAAAGATTGTGTCCCATGGGATGAGGGTGGGTGGTTTTTCCACCAGCAGCGGCAGGATGAGGCCCATGGAGCTGAGTTCTGCTTCTCCCTCCTGGCACCATCAGCAACAAGGCACAGGGCTGGCCCTGCCTGCTTCAGGTGGGAGGAATTCCCAGGCAGGCAGGCAGGCAGGGGACGAGGCAGGGAACAGCCAGCCCGGTGGATACACCGCCATTTGAGTGAAAAATTCTCAGGGAAAATTCTTTCTCTCCCTCTCAGGCCCCTAAACTCTTTGTGAATGGGGCCAGTGCAACATGTGGCCTTTCACCTCGCCCAAGAACCACTGCCAGACAGCCACACTCAGAGAATTGTTTGTTAATAGTCCAATTAGATAATTGCCATCTTTCACTCCTTTTGCTCTACGTTTCCCATAAAGGAATGAATAAGGAGAGAAGCATGAAGAGGGCTTCTGCCCTGCAAGGTGACAAGAAGGACTGGAGCATGCTCTTTGCACAAGGCCATTTGCTTGAATTGAATCATTGTAGCCTAATCAATGGTCTTATTGGATTACTGGCTGTTGCAGTTCTCAAAGATATTGTAGCAGAGACAATGAAATAGCTAGAGTAAAACTTTTTTCTCCTTTAGTGGATCACGCAGTTGAGATTTTTCACGGGCTATCTCTCCCTCTCTCTCTCTCTCTCTCTCTCTCTCTCCTTCCCTCCCTCCCTCTCTCTCTCCCTCTTTCTCCCCCTCTCTCTTTCTCCCCCCTCCTGGATCCACTGCACACAAAGCTGGCTTTTTTTTTTTTTTTTTTTTTTTTTCCAATGAGCAGGCTCTGCGAATAGGTTCAGTGTTTGCGAAGGTGCAGAATTAGCAGACACACATGCATGCACACATACACACACACACAGAGGGAGAAGCACAAAAAGCAAGTATCGGGACTGAAATAAGGAGAGGTAGGAGTTTAAGATGGCTGTCTGTGGGGAGATGTGTTAACGAGGATTTCTGCTGGCCAAGATAACCTGCTTCCTTGGAGAGATCTGCTTGGAGGAAGAACTTTTTGGGTGTGTGCGTCCTGGGGATCTGTTTGTTTGTTTACAATCCAGGGGGCTTTTTTTTTTTTTTTGCTTTTTCTTCACCCCCCCTGCAACTGCATTTTTTCAGCCTTTCCTAGCAGCTTTATTCAGATTTATTTGGCGTGCTTTGGAGAAAGCCACTATATAATCGGGAGGTCAAAGGCAGACTGAAGAAAGTTAATAATGGCTGCTAATGGTGCTAACAATTCAGGGTGAATCTTGTCAAAAGTTGTTTTTTTTTTCCCTCTCCCCCACCCTTTTTTTCCTCTCTCCTTTTTTTTTTTTTTTTTTTTTTTTTTTTTTTTTTTTTTTTCTGGAAGTCTCAGTCTTTTGATTGTGTGTTTCCTGAAAGCAAGACCAATCATTTCAGTTTATTCACTGGCTAAACTCTACTTGATTGGGGACAAGCACACAAACCATCCATTACGATCTGATATATTATCCAAACAATTTAGTGTATTCATGAGGTAACCTAAATGTGGAGGCTGCAAAATTACCCGTAATCAATTGAAACAGCGAGTGCGCGTCCCTCTGTGTGTCTAACAACTACATGTCTCTGTAATAAGGCAGACATTAAATCATTTTAGAGTTGTACTGTTGAGTACCTGATCACTGGGCGCTCTGGGAAGCTGGACAGTCACATTAGGACGCTGGGACTGAGGAAGCCGCTGCTTTTCCAGTGGGATAAAACCCGATCTTCCTTACTCAAGGTGCTTTACAGATCCCCACCGATCTCACCCTAAGTCGTGCAATATCCAGCATAGACTTCGTCTTCTTCTTCTTCTTCTACTCTTCTATAATTTTTTTGTTATCGTTGTTGGCGCTTTTTTTTTTTTTGGTTTTTTTTTGTTTTGTTTTTATTGCACTACATGTTTGGGAAACAAGACAAAATGGACGTTAGATGCAGTTCAGAGACTGAAGCTAACCGGGTCTCGAAGAACGGACATAAAGAGGGCAAGGAAAGCAAAGGGTCTGAAGGAAATATTTCTACTTCTTTTTTGAAGGATCAGCAAGGGACTTTTTCTGCCTCTGCAGCCACGGAAGGTTGTAATAAAAGTAAATCTAGTTCGGCTGATCCGGACTATTGCAGGAGGATCCTAGTTAGAGGTATGAGTTTGAGGTGTTTGGCGAGGGTGGGGGAAGGTGAGCCCGGGAGATGGGGTTGATTTTGCCGCTTTGCCTGGGGTCTGGCCCTGGGTCCAGAGCCCTTCCTACGGCTGCGGGGGAGAGACCCCGCTCGGGGCCGGGCT